GCTCAGCACTATCAAGCTCAGCACTACCAGGCTCAGCACCCTCAGGCTCCTCACGCTCAAGCGCAGCACCTCCAGACTCCGCACTCCCAGGCTCAGCACCTCCAGGCTCCTCACGCTCAGGCGCAGCACCCCCAGGCTCAGCACCCCCAAGCTCCGCACCCCCAGGTCCAGCACCCCGAGCTGGACCACCCCCAACAGGACCGGAGTCATCAGTGACCTCAACAGGCATAGGCACGGGAGGGTCTACCTGAGAAACACCTGAAGGAGCAGGACCTGGCGCGGGGAGGGGGTCTACCTGGGGAGGACCTGGAGCGAGGAAGAGCGGCGGGGGGGGGGGCCGGGGGTAAGTGCAGTAGGGAAGGAGACGGTAAAAGGGAACTGACTCGTCAAAGGTGACGTCCTGAGACGCAAAGACACGGCGCGAGGCGGGGTCGTAAAACTGCCAGCCAGGCGCGTCAGGAGGGAAACCAAGGAAGACGCAGGGAATGGCGCGAGCAGAGAGCTTGTCCGCGGTGAGATCGCAGACAAAGGCACGAGCACCCCAGACCCAAAAACGCAATGCATCGCCAACCTCCCCCGTCCACAGCAGTGTGGGCGAGGTCTCCGGCAAGGAGACACGGAGCCAGAGGTTGAGCTGATGCGCGGCGTACCGGACCGCAAACGGCCACAGAAAATGGGGAGCCGCCGCATGGATCATGGAGGTACGAGCGACCTCCATGACTAAGCCAATGCGGCGCTCAGCAACCCCATTCTGTTGCGGAGAGGCCAGAAGCGTGAACGACTGGGTGATGCCGTGCTCCTCACAGAAGGCTCGCAAGAGGTCGGAGGTGAACTCACCACCTCTGTCAGAGTGCAGACGCAAGACAGGAAAGTCCCGCTCAAACCGCTCGCGGAGCTGGAGACGAACAGCGCGGATCCAAGGGATCAGGACAGCAGGGACATCCGCCTTGCGCTGCAAGGGGAAGACCGTGGTGTAACGCGTGTAGTCGTCGACAACCAACAGGAAGTACCGCTCGCGGCCCTGTCCCTGGACGTGGGCTGGGCCCCACACGTCCAGGTGGAGAGTCTGCAGCGGAGCCTCTGTGGGAGGGAACGAGGAGGAGTGAGGAGCGGCGCGCTGCCGCCCCTCGACGCAAGGAATGCAGGGTGGCGCAGGCGAGGGAGGGAGGGAGGGCAGAGACCTGGGAAGACCAGAGACCAGGGAGCGAGAGTGCATGCTACGAAGGCGAGGCAGGGAGGGGTGACCAAGGCGGTGGTGCCACAGGAGAGTGTCGTGCGACAGGCGACGACACTCACACTGGGTAGCTACCTGAGCAGACGCGTACAGCTGAGGAGACAAAGTGGCGTGACGCGACACAGTGGTGAGGGTGTACAGACTGGACCCAGGCGCACGTGTGAACGTGGCCAGGTGGCGGCCGGTCCGAGAGCACGTGCAGTGTGTCACCCGCTGTCCTCCAGGAGTAAAGGTGTCAACCCAGTGATCCTGAAGGACGGCGGTGCTCACCAAGTTCGTAGAGAACGAGGGGAGGTGGAGACCAGACAGCTCACCAGACGGGACCGTCGGACACGGAAGCAAAGTGGTAGACTGTGCAAGCACAAGGCCCCCAGAGGGGTCAGCCAGGGAGACAGGGACAGGTGCAGGGAGGGGTGTGACTGTGGTACTGTCGCGAAAGAAACAGCGGGAAGCACCTGAGTCAAGCGTGAAGGTGTGCACGGCCGCAGCAGGCGCAGTACCTGAGAGAGCAGACTCACTAGCACCTAGAGCAGCAGCCGCTATACCAGGGTCAGGGGGCACACACAGGTAACAGTCACCCTCAGAAGTACCAGTCAAAGCATACATGGCAGTAAGGATAGTGTCATAGTCTAAGGCAAATATATCTACTCCGTCCTGAAGCAGCTCTAGCCAGAGGGGTAGCTCAGTCTCGTCGCCAAACCGTGCTCGCCAAGCGTCGAACAGACGGGAGAAGCAGCGGGACTCTGTATGACTAACTGTCCCGCAAGTCTGACCAGCTCGATCACCTGTGCGAATGACGTACGGGCAGCGAGCAGTAGTCCTACACCCCCAACTCTGAGCGTACCACTCATGCAGCTGCCGGGGCGTAAGGGTCTCGCGCGGGCGCCGCTGCAGCTGCATCTGGCCACCGCCAGAGACTCCGCACTGACCAGCTCCACCACGACTGCTACTACGGCCGCCGCCACCTCTCCGAGACGCACAACGCTGAGCGTACCACGCATGAAGCTGCTGGGGTGGAAGGGTCTCGCTCGGACGCCGCTGCAGCTGGATCTCGCCACCGCCAGAAACTCCGCACTGAACAGCTCCACTTCGACTGTAACTATGGTCGCCGCCACCACTCCCACTGCCGCCACCGCCGCCGCCACCACTCCCACCGCTACTACGAAGGGAAGTCATAGCGGGTAAGCAAGGAGGCGTGCGAGGAGGAGGGCGGTACGGAGGGAAGACAGCAGCACGAGCAGCAGCACGAGCAGCAGCAACAGCAGTAAGAGCAGTAAAGCGGCACGGTGATGCTAGGCTGCAGCACCTCCAGCCCTTCTAGCAGCACCTCCACCAGCAGCAGTAGTAGCACGAGCAGGAGGGCGGATCGGGTCGGGTAGGGCGGCTCGGCTCGGCCTGGGCGGCGCGGGCAGCAGGGCGCGCGTCGTGCAGGGCAGTAGGGCGCGATGCGCAGGCTGCAGCAGAGCGCGACGCGCGGGGCTGCAGAGCGCGGCGCGCGGGCTGCCGTAGGGCGCGACGCGCGGGGCAGCAGAGGCGCGACGCGCGGGCTGCAAGGCGGACGGGCGACGCGACGGGCAGGCCGCTCGTACGGGCGACGCGACGGGCTGGGACAGCCCGTACGGGCGACGCGACGGGCAGGCAGCCCGTACGGGCGACGCGACGGGCTGGGACAGCCCGTACGGGCGACGCGACGGGCAGGCAGCCCGTACGGGCGACGCGACGGGCTGGGACAGCCCGTACGGGCGACGCGACGGGCAGACAGCCCGTACGGGCGACGCGACGGGCTGGGACAGCCCGTACGGGCGACGCGACGGGCAGGCAGCCCGTACGGGCGACGCGACGGGCTGGGACAGCCCGTACGGGCGACGCGACAGGCAGGCAGGGCGGACGGGCGACGCGACGGGCTGGGACAGCCCGTACGGGCGACGCGACGGGCAGAGGCAGGGCAGACGGGCGACGCGACGGGCTGGGACAGCCCGTACGGGCGACGCGACGGGCAGAAGCAGGGCAGACGGGTGACGCGACGGGCTGCAGGGGCGCACGGCGCGACGGGCAGCATGGGCGCGCGACGCCAGGCAGAGCAGAGCGTGCGCGCAGCAGCGAGCTGCGCGCAGAAGTAGGGTTTGCGCGCGCGAGAAGCGCAGTGCAGGCAAGGCAAGGCGCGCGCGGGCAGCGCAGCGCAGGCAAGGCAAGGCAAGGCTCAGGCACGGCAAGGCGCAGGCAATGCAAGGCGCGCGCGGCCGGCGCATCGCAGGCAACACGTAGGGCAGCTCAGTAACCGCACCGGTAGGTGGGCCCGAAACGAGACGGTCCTACGGACCTATTGCTCTGAAACCATGTTGAGAATGCTAGGCAGGAATGAATGAACTAGGTTAGAGTTTGGTACAAGTATGAAACCCTAATGGGGTTGTACCCCATATTAGCTACCCCACTACAGCCTACACAAAAATAACCTATATCATTTGACACAAGGCACGGCTGGAGCAAGGCACGGATGGAGCAAGGCATGTCTGGAGCGAGGTACGGCTGGAGCGAGGCACGGATGGAGCAATACTAGGAACTACCGAGAAGAGACACCAGCCTAGGAACAGTTGGCTAGGCAAGTCGGGCTAGGAACGCCAGTCAAGGCACAAACTGAAACTACTCCAGGACAAGGGATTGCGGCTGCCCGCCACCGTTAGGGATGCCAGAGGCAAGAGGTGCGCACGAGACCAAGGGCACTGGTGGTGTGGTGGGCGGCTATGGGCGGAAGTAGGTGGAAAATGGGCGGAATTAGGCGGTGGTGGGCGGCATGGAGAGGCTGTGGGCGGCTGGGATGACACAAGGGCCCACCATCACTACCCAGTTGCGTGGGAACCTTCCCGAGGAAATCCTAGGGTCGATCACATTCTGATCGCAACAACCCCACCTTGAAATAAATGGCCACAATGACTTACGGTACTGATTTATGTTCACCTTGGGAACAAGGCAAGGCAACCCCATTTACGGGCGATGGGCGGCATTGGACCTCCCTAGCTTGAATGTGCACCGCCGATTTAAAACATTGTTAGCCGTAACACGTGGTAACATGGACATTGAAGCTCCAAAAGTGCTTGATAATATCCATGGCTGCCTGGAGGTTGTTTCAAGCGGCCAGCTAGATCCTCACAACTTATAATTTCAAGTTGTGAAACAAATGTATAACTTCCCGCACTCCTTTAGAATGTCTTAAGCGCGTAACACTGGCTTGTGTAGGGTGTCGACGTCGCGGAGACATTTCCATCGAACAGGAATCTTTCAGATCTGCGATCCACAAGGTGGCGATGCCGCGCTGGCGTCACACATTTCTCCCGCGCATTCCGAATCGCCAACGCGTGGTTGGCGATCACCCGCCGTACTGGGAAGAACCCCGTTGAGCCGAGCCTCCCGCCGCCGTGCTGCCCAAACCCTTTGGCCCGCCACCAATCGGCTCGCCTCGCCGCCGCTGCGGTGATCCTAGGGTGTTGGAATCAGAATACGGAATCATACGTTCCGAAGAGATCCATTTCGATGACAAGCGGTGTCACTACATCTGGTTGTGACTTTCTGCCTTCTGCGTGTGTTGGTATGCTGGATCCGAAAGCTGGGGAAGGTCACCTGTGTGATCATTGACCGGAGAATGGTCACTGTCAATCAGTACTAGCTACTAGCTTCCAAGGTTTGAATCCGCCAGATTGGCTCATCCTTTATACCTTGAGGTCAATTCTCGTCCCAGTTGTCCACATTCCTAGTTCCCGGGTCGAATTCAATGGGCATCCCTGTGGCCCAGCGATCCGACGAGATGGCAACGATGCCAGCAGCGATCGCACCGACTCCACCTGCGCCCGCACCGTCCTCGCCGCACGACGGGCCCGCCGCCATGGGCGCTCTCGGCCTGCTTCGCCTCTTCTCCATCTGGCCGCCACCGCAGAAGGCGGCCCCCGCGTGCCCGTCCCAAGAGCGGCACGACGCGCCGTCCCACCCCATGCATGGTGGCTCCCCAGGGTCGGAGGGTGCGGCGGCGGAAGCGAGGGAAGCCATGGAAACCGCCACGTCACTCGGAAGTGGGGAGGAGATGGGGCAAGGCAATTCGGGTGCCGTGGCGTGCACAGCGATGGCCACAGACGACAATGCGGCCGCAGAGCCAGCAACGCTCGCAGAACAATCGCTCGAGCCGCAGCCCGTGCAATCGCCGTCGCACGGCAGCGCGACTAGTTGCGCAGATCCCGCCGCGTGTGCCCCGTTGGAGCGCCCCTTCTCCCCCACGTGCGTGCTCGACCCGCCCGACTGGGCGACCGTGGCGGGCCTCGACAGCCTGCAGCTGCCGGCGCTGCAGCGACTTGCGTCGCACGGCGTCGTCTGGAAGCACCCTGCGACGGCGGCCCTGCGACGCTTCACGCTGCACTACGGCGGCGAGGTGGACGCGGACGGCAACTGCCTCTTCGCCGCGCTCAACCGCCTCGTACCGCATCCCGACGGCGCGGCGGGCCTGCGGCGGAGAGCGGTGCGGCGGTTTATGAAGGAGTACGAGGCGGGCGTGGTGGAGCGAGCGCGCGTGGACGCGGCGGTGCGGCATCTGTACGCGCCGGACGTGGGCGTGGGGTGGGGCGTGCACGTGGTGCAGGAGGTGAAGCTGCTGGCGCCTCGCGCGCAGCGTGCGGAGCTCATGGCGGCCGTGGGGCAGCTCGTCGACTGCGGCATGTCAAGGTGCGCCCGCCGCTCCGTTCGCTTCACCGGATCGCGGAACCGCCATGCGCTCGCTGCCAGAAAATCAGTGACTCGCTATGTCTGCCATACCGCCAGGTCACTAGCGCAACGATGACTAACGCTATGCTACTTAAGAAAATTTTAGAAAAAGGCTCCTCTTCTTTCTCCCCACCCTCCCTCCCCCCATTCCCCACCACTCGTGCGCGCGCTCGCCCACCCACCCCCCGCTCCCCCTCTCCCCCTTTCTCCCGCCCATCGCAGGGACCACGCTGTGGAGATGGTCGCGAAGGACCGCTGCCTGCCCGTCGACTGCGCACGCCGCTGGGCGCACTACATGTCGCTCGGCGCGCCGCTGCTGCCCGCCGGCGCAGCGGACTCCTCGGGGGAGTGCGCGGGGGTGGCGGAGTGGGAGGCGGAGCGCGAGGCGGCGGGCGGGCACGACGTGGTGTCGCTGCAGTACGCGCAGGACGGGTTGCTCTCCGCCTCCGCCTCCTGGGACTGTCCGCCCTCCGCGCTCTGCGCGGAACGGGACGCGGGTGCAGGAGAAGCGGCGGCGGGCGGGGGTGGCGGAATGGCGGCGTTCGGCGACGACATGGCGATCGAGATGCTGGCCACGGAGCTCGCCCGCGAGATCATCGTCGTAAGCCGCCGCGCTGCCCCGCTGCCTTGCTGCTCCCGCAATTAAATGCGCGAAATGCGCGCGTACCCGTGTTTTCATCAGTGCCGTCCGCCATTGCCCTGTGCCGTCGTCATCAGCAGGTCCCGTCCCCTCACCCCCCCCGTCCCGTCCCCTTACCACCCCCGTACCGTCCCCTCACCCCCCCCGTCCCGTCCCCTCACCCCACCGGTCCCGGCCCCTCTCTCCCCCCATGTGCGCGCGCAGGTGCAGGCGCACGGGCACGACGCGATGGTGGACGAGGGCTCGGCGCTCTTCTTCCTGCCGCACACCCCCAGGGGCGCGCCGCTCTCCGTCGCACACCCGCCGCTCTTCCTGCTCATGAAAGGCACAGGTGCGCGCTCATGGGGTGACAGGCGCGGGGTGGGTGACAGGGGGAGAGGGGGTGATATGCAGGGTGCATGGGTAAATAAGGCGAGCAATGGGAGTTTGCGAGGGGAATATTGACTTGTGCCATGGCAAGAGGGGTTCAGTGCAGTGCACATGAATGAGGGCGTACCTGCTACCTGCCGCCACGCCCCTCTTGACGCCTCTCACCCTCAACTGCCTGCTCCCTCCCTCCTCCCCCACCCCGCCCCCCTTCTTCCCCCGACCCTTCAACCTATGCTTCCCCCATGCAGCGTGGTGCGGGGCGGGGGGCGACCACTACGAGGCCATGGTGGCCGTGGACAGGGGTGAGGTGCCCACGGGGGACGCGCAGGGGGCGTGCGGTGCGGTGCTGCTGTGATGGGTGCGTGGAGGGGTGCGAGGATGCGGGGCACGGGTGTGTGGTGAGGCGTTGTTGCACAGCTGCGCACATGAGGTTGCAACTTGGGAGGCCCACGATTGCAAGGAGGCGTGTGTTGTGCTGTGTTGTGTTGTTGCTGGTGAAGCAGGGCCGGCACATTGCTCTAGTGCTGCCATCAAGGCTTCTTCACCCTTGATTTTGTAGGCATGATGCTTGATTATCTGCCACAGCCCAAGGCTGCTGGCATCTCTAGTGATTGCTTAGGCAAAGAGACTTGCGCTATGCTTTTTTGTGGATGCACGGTGGGGTGCGGTGTGGGGCGCGTTGCCTGGTAGGAGCAGAGTCGGCAGGTTGCTCTAGTGCTGCCACCTTGACTGGTTTTGTAGGGATGACATTCCACTTCCTGCCACGGCCGAAGGCTGTTGGCTGCCCCTGTGTGTGATTACCAGCCTGCATTGCGCTATATTTTTAAACAATAAATACTGCAATGTTTCCATGTCAGCATGATGAGCACCTGCAGCACAAGCAATGCTAAAGCACCCACACACCCACACTACGAGCAATAGAACAATTACTCAGCAATACAGGCCTTCCCCCTGCCAACCCACCCGCCCTCCAATGTCCCAGCCAGCATTCCCTGTAAAGAAAACAGTTAGTATCGTAAGACAGCACACCCTAGTACCACCCGCCACCGCCCTGCAGCGACAGCCACCCGCGGCCAAGCGAGTCCAGGAAGCTAAACCGCGGGAACTGCGGGCGGCCCATGCGGTGCGAGAAGAAGAACCACCCGGCGCGTGCACGCGCATACGCCGCCAGCTGCGCAGACGCCAGGCCTGCCATGCCGGCATCGTCCACACTGTCATGCCCCTCCACCGCCAGAGACCACTCGCCCACCATCGCCACGCGCTCGCTCCCCGCCGGCTGCAGCAGCCCCAGCTCCTTCACGCGCGTCGTCAACACAAAGCTCAGCACCGCCGATAGGTTCCCTGAACCAGCACCGCCGCCGCCCCAAGCGTCCCCTGTGGCTGCCGTGTTGGCAGCAGGGTCAGTAGCAGCAGGGTCCGTGGCGGCAGCAGCGGGCGTGGCGGTGGACTTGGGGGCATCGTGGAAGATGTTGTAGAAGTGCTCGTCGTGGATGACGTTGGTGAACTGCGCCTCGTCCGCTAAAAAGTCCAGCACCTCCGTCGCCTCCGCGCCCACGCGCGCGCTGATCGCCACGAACGCGCACTGCGAGTGCGCGCGCACCGCCGCGTACGTGCGCTCGTAGTAGTTCCCCAGCGTCTCCGCGGAGATGGCCTCTTCGAGAGGCTCGTTGAGCAGCGCGATGCCCGCGAAGGCGTCGTGGGTGGCGTAGCGCTGTGCGAACCAGTCTATGGCCTCCACCGTGCGGTCTATGTTCACCTGGGACGCTGCCCAGTCGGGAATGCCGTCCCGCGACGCTGAGTGCTCGTACCCGTTCTGAGATCCTGGTGCCGCGTGCAGGGACAGCAGCACCCGCATGCCGTACCTGGCGGAAACGGGTGGGAGAGAGAGGAAGAGGTGGTGGGAATGAGATACACGGGGAGAGGGTGGGTGGAATTGAGGGGAAAGGCGAGGCACTAGGCGAGATGAGGATGGCAAGGATGGGAGAAGCAGAGGGCTATGGAGAACAGAGAGCATGAAACAAGAGCACGCATACACACGGTCGTCACCTTGCCCGGCACTTGTCCTTCGCAGCCACTCACCTCACAACACGTGAGCGCGTGCACTGCACCTGACAGCGCCGCCATGACATGACACAGCATGCAGGGTGCAGGGCACTCACTTGTTGGCCATGTCGAAGGCCCAGTCGAGGTACTTGAGCCCGCCCTTGCTGAACGGGTACAGCGGCCCGCCCGCCCCCACATCCCCCTCCGCCTTGCCCTCCTCCGCTATCCAGTACCCCACGGGCACGCGCACAGCATTCACCCCCGCCTGCTGCAGCGCGCCAAAGTGCTCCTCCGTGACCCACGTGGTGCGGTGGTGCTCGAGGCGCTTCTCCACCTCGTCCGGCCCCCAGTGCCGCCCCATCTGCCACTCGCCGCGCACCGCCGTGTTGTGCACCAGCAGGAATGCCACGCCCGTCGTCCACGCCCAGCTGCCCACCGCCGTGTTCACCTGCTCTGCTGGCACGGATGCTGTAACGCTGCCATCGTCGTTGACGGAGAGGTACCGGCCGTTGGGCGCCTGGATCATCACCCACCGCGCCTCTGCCCCGTGGAACACAAACCGGAACGTCTCCAGGCCCTCTCCACCCGGGTTTGCCACATCGCTGCGCACCTCCGCCATGCCCCCACCCCCTGCTGGTGCGGCTGGGGCGCCAGAGCCTGCAGCAGCAGAGGAGGCGTTGGCGGGCGGGGAGGAGGAGTTGTGCAGCGACCAGTAGGAGAAGTCGAGCGAGCGCACCTCGTGCAGGTGGCGGTCGCCCAGCGTCAGCGTGCGCATGTGGAACGACGCCCAGTCGCCCGGCTGCGCGTCCTTCGCCACCAACCTGAACCCATTCGCCGAGTCCACATGCACAAAATTCCCGGTATAGAGTGACTGCAGGGAAAACTGCAGCCCGTCAATGTACACAGGCACGCGGCGGAAGAGGTCGGGGCGCAGCCAGCCCTCCAGCACCAGCCAGCCCGGCAGCCCCACGCCGCGGAAGGCGGGCAGCTGCATGGCCTCGCGCACGGCGAAGGCCTCGGCCACGTCGCGGTTGCGCGAGCGCATGAGGATGCCGGATTCCTCCACCACTATGAACGACCCGTCGCTGCACTGTATGCGCACCTTCTGCGGTATGCCCTCCACCTGCATGGGATGAACGTGCACGGTATGTGGCGTGGGGAACAGAGGTGGTGGGTGGAAGGGAAGGGAAGGAAAGGAAGGGGTCGGTGGAAATGGGAGGCAGCGTGGTGCGGCGTGGTTATGTGAGGGACATGGTGATTGTCAGCAGAGAGACCACACGCACAAAGGCACCTCCTCCGCTGCCCCATCTCTCACCCCTCTATCTCTCCATGAGAGCACCATGAGCCCACCCACTCACCACTTCAATGGAGAGCAGCGAGGCGGGCGTGGCAGTCGCATCGAGCCCCGTGACAGTGAGCTCGCGCGCGCACGTGAGGTACGTGCCCTGGGGCGTGCGCAGGCGCAGCGCACCGCTGCCGTGGGCCTGCGTGTCCTCGCGCTCCACGGTGTAGACCTCGCTGGCGGGCGCGGTCTCGTGGTACGCGCCTGGCTCCGCCCACCGCCCCGCGGGCAGGCGCGGCCCCACCCACAGCCCGTTGGACGCCTGCAGCTGCACCTGCGCCCCGTGCTGCCGGGGGGGGGCACGGCCAGGGTGGCACAAAGGGGAGGAAGGGCGCGTGTGCCGTTAGGCGGGGGGGGAAGGAGGTGGGTACCAGAGTGAGAGAGGCCATGAGCCCTGGATTCCAGAGGCTGCAGGCTGGCTCTGGTATGCCCTGGGTGCGAGTGACGCGCCTAGATAGATAGCCACCTGCACATTAGCTACAAGACTACGTTCCATCCACGCCCCCGCCCGCCACTCATTCATCTGCAGACCCATCCGTGGGAGGCACGACCTGTGCTTGCCGCGCCTGTGCTTTGGCCCATCGCCCCCCATGCTCCCTCCCTCTGCTCAACAACCACCCACCCACACACAGATTACTTCCTCGTCTCAAGCGACGACGGGTGGCAGAGTGGGAGGGAGCGGGAGGGAAGAGGGCGGGAGGGGGCGGGGAGGAGCGGGCGTACATGGAGAGCGGCGGACCACCAGACGGAGGGCATGGTGGCGGTGCTGCCCGCCACGGCAGGCGCGCGCGAGCTGCAGCACGGCCCCGCGCACGCGCCCTCTTCCCCCCCGCCTGCCCCCCCCGACCCGTCTGTGCTCGCCTGATCCCCCCCGCCTCCGCCCTCCGTTGCGCCGTCGCCCCCCTGCGCGCTGCTCTGCTCCCCCCACTGCGACTGCGCGGGGGGTGCGGGAGCCGCCTGCGACACCGCGGGGTCCATGGGGGGAGGCGCGGACCTGACGGGGAAGCATTGGGGGAGGGGTGGAGGGGAAGGGGGGAGGGGGAATGGGAGAGGATGGAAAGAGGGCGTGGGGCGTCGGCAGGGAGTTCAGTGCAGTGCGGGGCAGGCCATGTGTGTGCGGGGCAATGCAGTGCACGGGCGCGCTACGGGTGTGTGACGACGCAGTGCAGGGAAGGGAGGGGGGGGGGCGACATCCATCGCACCACATGCATGGCGCGGTGCGGTGCGCGCACGCACGCACTTGTTCATGGCGCCCGAGAGCCAGAGCACGAGCAGCAGCGAGCTGGACACGAGCAGCCCCACCAGCGCGCACGCCAGCACCACGCGCTCGCACGTCCAGAAGTGCTTGCCGCCGCCGCGCATCGAGTAGTCGCGCAGCGTGCCGCCGTGCGACGGGCTGGGCTCGCCCACCGTGCCCGCGATGGGCATCGTCTCCTCCTCGCCCACCATCGACGACGACATGCCGGCCCCCCCGCCGCTTCCCCCCCCGCCGAACAGCAGCCCGTTCAGGCGCGAGCTGGCGGGGCCGGTCAGCGAGTTGCCGAAGGCGGAGCCTTCCCCCCCCAGGCTGCCCGCGCTGCTGCCCACGTCGCTCTCCACGCCCGAGATGCCGACCGCGCCGTGCCCCGGCCGGCCGAACCACACCGTCTTGCGGTCGCGCTCCTGGAAGCTTCCGGTGGAACTGCTGCTGCCCGCGCGGCGCTTCGGCGGAATGCCGATGAGCAGCTCCGCCGCCGCCTCGTCGCCGCCCGCGGAGAAGCGCGACGAGCCGCCGCCGAAGGCGCCTGGGGAGGCGGAGGACGCCGCCGCCATGAGCGGCGACTGCTGCTGCAGCTCGTCCGTGTACGAGCGCGACACGCCCCCCGCCGTGCGCCGCGGCGTGGACCGCGCGGACCCGCCCGACGGCATGCTCGGAAGGCTCGGCGCGCTGCGCAGCGAGTCTTGGTGGGACCGGTACGCTAAGGTTAGGATAGATAAAGACGGGAATTTCAGGACTGCCACGTAAGCTGTCAAATTGAGGGGTCTGTCTAATAGAGTATGACGAGCGAGCTCGTTGCGGGGTGGACGTGGAGCGTGGATGCGAACGAAATGAAACAGTGTCGAACATGAGGGTTGTTGGCTACTAGGGCTATGAAGTGAATGTAGGATGCTCGACGTACTCGCTGTAAGGCTTGTGTGCACCTCACCTAATCAGGTGCGTATACTTGTGACCAGCATTATGATTGAGAAAACAAACAATGGTAGCGCTCATTTAGAAGCTTACGCTGTGATAAAAACTTTGTAATTTTTGTGGTCCCTCCCATACAGTTGATAGGCCTATGTCACACCCAGTTGTGTGTGTATGCCACATTACATTTCCTCTGCCACAAATCACCTTCTGAGAAACACGTACATCATGGTCCACCCCCCATTTCAATATCGAGGGGTCAGGTCAGGCTACTGATTGTCTATCCCCTCCTTGGAAGTACGGTAACACGCAAAAAATTGCTGGGCAGCCAGACAATAAGGTGCATATGCATAGTCACACACACATCAAACTCGCACTCACACCACCCACACCTACTTTCCCTGCCCCTCCCTCCCCCAAACCCACTGCACTCAGAAGATAACATGCAGAGCACAAGCACTGACGATGAAAATTGCGCACGTATACAAACTGGTTGCTACTGGCAACAGGCCACCTTGCAGCTCAGGCAGCCATAGGCGTGAGTTGGTACATGGACTCCCTGCCTTGATACATCGAGTCCGACTTCAAAGAAGACATCTCAGCCGCTGCACTGCTCCCCCACGCCCCCCCTCCACCTTCACGGCTCCCCCCCGGCGCACCAACCTCCCCCCCCGCACGCGCCTCACAGGCGGGCAGCTGCCACTCGCCCGTGCCAGCGAAGCGCAGCCCGTACACCACACTGGAGGCGGCGCCGGGTGCGGCGCTGCCTTGCGTGTCGGGCGCAGGGATGATGATGTCAATGGACTCGATGGGACGCCGGTCCAACTCCATGTCCCGACACAGGCTCTCCACTCCTGTCACACGCGCAGGAGGGGGGCGCAGATGGGTGGGCTTCATCAATGAGCGTGTCTCAAGGGTTGCAAGGGCACGTAATTAAAAGTTGGACAATGGAGAACGCCATATGCAGTAAAGCTACGTGGTTTCGGAAGAAACTTGGCGAAAGTCTGTTTCTGACATCATTGTGAGAGGTGGCGTCATATCAAGGAACATACCCTGCCAGTTGAGGCATGCACAGGGTGGCTCGGCCGCGGTGCTGTCGTCGTTCGAGTCCGCGTCTGACAGTGGTTGCTCCGCGTCCTGGGACCCCGCCTGTGACCCACTGGACGCAAGAGACGAACCACTGCGCGCATCCCCTTGGGCCGCTCCGCCTGTGGGACGAGTGCTGGCAGCGGGCGCAGCGGGGGCGGTGAGTCGGTCCCACGCGCGTGGCTTGGCGTCAGTGGTGGCGTCAAAGGGTGGAGGGGCAGCAGAAGCAGGCTCGCCCATTGCAGGAGGTGCGGGCGATGGTTGCGTGAGCTGCTGCAACGACTGCAGCTTCTGCAGCAGTGATGGCGGCAGGTTGCGACCCGCTGCGAGGGACGAGAGGCAAGGGCGGGCGGCACAGCGTGGGTAGTGGGGACGGGAAGAGGTGCGAGGAGGGAGGAGAAGAGGGGAAGAGGGGGATTACGTGGGGAAGAGCGACAGGAAGAGGCGGGTGAGCGCGCGGATGCGAGAGGCAGCAGCAAACAGCAAGGACGCGCATGGACTGCAGCCTGCGCATGGACTGCAGCTTGCGCATGGACTGCAGCCTGCGCATGGCGTCAGGGCCACTTTCATCTCAAAGCTTCCCACGCAATACGCACGCACTCGGCAAGCAGTACTCACCTGCCGGTAGCCGCAGCGCAGAGGGCCCTCGTTGCGCCCCCGGCTGCGCCGCTCCCCCGCGAGCCGCCATGCCCACTCGCCCGAACGCCACAGGCCCCGACCGCGCAATCGGCGCCGACAGGAAATCCGCGTCGCACGCCCCGCCGTCGCCGTCCGTGGAGGAGGCGTCGGGCGACATGGAGCTCGACGACTCTCCGCCCGTCGCACGTGCGAACCCTCCGCCGCAGGAAGGCGCAGTCCCGCTGCTGCTGCTGGGCCGGCGCAACGCCGCCACGTTGCGCGGCAGCACCGCGCCTTGCGGGGCCACCACGGATGGGTACAGCCGCTGAAGCGGGTTAGGCTGCTGCCGTAGGTGCGGCAGCTGCTGTTGTAAAGGCGGCTTCGCCGCCTGCTCTCTGCCGATTGTACCCGATATAAGCCCGGCTTGCGCCTCGAATTGCTCCATGGATCGCTGCCCGCTGCTCGACGGGGCTCTGCGGGGGAAAACAAAACTGTTGCTGCCTTTGCCGCTGCTGATGGACGGAAACAGCGGCACGTTACCGGCGTTGCTTGCGCCATCCGGCGGGTTCCACGCCTTGTTTCCGCTGCTGTTGCTCCGATTCAGCGCGCGCGACTCCGCCGAATTGACGCCGCCCATCGCCCCGTACTCGGGGACCGCTCCCCATTCGGCGCCGGCGCTCCCATGGGCAAGCGGAGCGGCAGAAGCAGCGAGGCGTTGGGGCGGGGGAAAGGGCATGGAGTGGGTGAAAAGCGCAGGGAGCTCGCCCGCGTTCCATGCCGCCGCCCCTACCGGCCAATGCGACTCTTCTGCCACAGCTCCGCCAAACCCCTCGTTGGCGGCATGCGCGTTGCGGTTCCCTCCCGAGCCTGGCCGACCAGTGCTGACGCCGGTAGTCATCCCGCGGACCCTGGCGCGCCTCTCCGCATTGGCTGCGCCGTCAGTCTTGGCGCGCAGCAGTTCACCGCCCAGCCAGTCGTCGTCCTCGGGCGTCTCCTCCAGCATGGCGAGGCGCGATAGCTCCTCGCGCATCCGCTCGCCCGCACTCCTCTCCGCCGGCGCCGCGGCCGGACTTCTTCCCGCCCCGCCCGGAAGCTGATCCCCGCCAGGGCTTCCCAGGCGCTGCGAGCCTGGGGCATTGGACGCGTCGCGGAAAGCAGTGTAGCCGTCCATGCTCGCGCGGCGGTTCTGTTCGGAAAGCGCGGCCGACGGTGGCGACGAGTTGAAATCCAGCTTGATGTCGCCGTCGCTAATGCCGCCCGCGCTAGGCCTCGACGGCGCGGCTGACGACGCGGGAGCTGCCGCTGGCCTGCCCCCGCCTTCCGCGGCGTGGTTCGCGGAGGCTGTTGTGTTGTCGCTTCGGCTGCGAGAAAAGGGAGCGCCTGAGAAGAAGAGGCGCGTTCTGCTGGAGCGCCCTCGCGCGGTGTTGGGCGACGGAGGCGACATTATGTGTAATGTGCTGTAGACGTGATGTGCGAGGTGGTCCCGCTGGTCGTGGTATGTTCAACGCAGAATCTCAAAATCTCGGAGGGCGTGCGCAGGGTGGATGGCGCTCTCGGTAGCTTTGCTCCACGAGACGAGCAGACCCAGGAACGTGGTTGTAGAATGAGACGGGATAGAGGTGAGGAACGTGGTGTCGCTTGCGATGAGAGAACGCACAATACCAGCTGATAAGAGAGCCACCAATGGCGCACTGCAAGTTTCTAGAAGTCAATAGAGGTGGAATCACAAGAGCAGACACAGAGGTTCAAAATGTGGATGTGGGATGTGGCTTGGGATAGCAAAGGAGCAGCAAGCAGAACAATACAGTACGATGAATGTTGTGGCGTTGGATGGTAGTCGAGGGACCAGAGAAAAAAACAGCAAGAACAAAGAGGGGGGCAGTCGCGGTAACTGAAAAAACGCCGCGTTGTTCTTGATGGTTTTCACTGAATGCGGCGCCACCCCTCCAGTGTATGTTTGGGGGACGCCAAACCAGACATGAGAGAAATTTGAAGGGACACGCCAAGCCACACAACCCGATGATGAGGAAAACAGCCGCTGCATGGTTCCGCCAGGCATGAACATTTCGGAGGGACCGTTGGTGTAGAAAGTTTTTTTTTTTTTCATTTCCTGTCACTTCAGTCAGGCACACGAGAACTGTGCTGTCCCTGAATCTTGAAGTACAAGACCATTGTTCATCCTTCCGTACAGTAGTAAAATAGTGAAGTGACAAGAGTAACTACGGGATTTGTTTGATTATTTCATCATCAGCTTCTACAATAGTATTCAGTAGTTGTGTCATCACTAAGCCCACTTGGCAGGATAACATTGAAACCAAAAGCACCCTAATACCCTATAAATTTCACACTGGACCACGGACACCGTCGCAATTGCACAATGATATGGAGGCAGCTGGGGGAAGGGGCTTTCCATTTGTGGCAGTTGTTAAAGGTTACGGTCCTTGGGTTCCAGGTGTGTCCCCGAGAAGCAGAATTCAATGTTTTTGGATGTGCACATGTGGCGTCATCCCAACAGAAGATCAGCCCAAAATGCTTCTGTGCCTCCCTCAGTTCCAGATAGGGCAGAGGGAGATGTTTGAGATCAGATGACTATCTCTAGAACTCGAAAACATTTCCCAAATCACTCTTGTAACGGGTGAATGGCGATGCAAAGCTAGTTGCTTGCTGCCCACATCACATGATCTCTGCTTCCAATCAGCAATGGGCACGCACCCCAACCAGAATGGTCGTCAGCCACAAGAATGAAAAACATACAGTAGTTCTCACCATCCCCAACCAAGAGCACTCGAGCATGTCGTTTTGTAACGACACTCACGTGCTTCGCGAAGCCAAAGAATTCCACAACAGACACAATCTCCAACTTGGCCTTCACCTCCAAAACAAGAAACGAGGCTCGGTACAGGTAAGGGTCACTAAGTCTTCCCACAACGTGGCCTCGAGACCTAGGTTCGGACCGAGCCTGAATCTCCAGAACCTCATCTGTACGCAACATAATACAGCCCCAGAAATCTCGCCAAACTCCGTCTGCTATATTCCAACAGCCTCGTCATATGTTCTCAGGGCAAGTACCCTGATTTGACTGAAAATAAGGCCTTTTTTCCCCATGAACCCTGAAATTGGCAGGGTAATTTTAGGACAAGCCCATACAACTGAGGGGTGATTCTTGAGACAACTCGAATCTCTCCAGGATGTTTCCGAGCGGATCCGGAAAGTTTAAGCATCACTTATTCTCCCCGACCTGCTCCGCTCCTGGTTTTGCCTCCAAGTGTTTGATTTTGTAAACGAGAGAGGAATGATGAACTAAGAACAATGAGAGTACAAATGTGAAACCCTAAAGTTGTGTACCCCCTAAGGCTAAACCCACTGTAGCCTACACAACAGCTACACACATATAATGAATGACACACCCCCATAGGCAAAGTGGGGGAGAACAAAGGGTCACAAGACCAGTCAAGCAAAGCAAACCAAAGCAAAGCTCAGGGTGGATCACAACGTCACCACACATTCTGAGCAAAGGTTCAAGGCCTCAAGGCCAGTTCACATGCAAGATAATATATAGAGGTAAACAAACAAGAGCAGGTATATATAAGACACAGTACAAGCAAGGTCAAGAAGTGAGCAAGTGAGGCCAAGTAGGCACAAGACCTAGCATAGTACAAAAGCGCTGATGATCGCAAGGCGGAAGAGCCTTGGTGAAGATATCAGCAGTGTTGGCCCGAGTGGCCACGTAAGCAAGGCGCAGCTGACCACGCTGCTGCAGCTCACGAGCAAGGAAGTAGCGAAGAGCAATGTGCTTCGTTCTGTGCTCCAGTCTGTGCTCCCGACACAAGGCCAGCATGGCCTTGTTGTCTACGTACAGAACTGGAGGAGAACGAGGCGGCTCTCCCAGGTCAATCAGAAGGTAAGTCAGCCAGCGTAACTCCTGTGCAGCCATGGCTCCTGCGTAGATCTCAGCCTCACAGCTGGAGCTGAGAACAGACGACGAGCGGGTAGACCGCCACGAAACAGAGCCGGAGCCAAGGCTGAAGGTGTAACCCTGTGACGACCGCTGCGTAGCCAGGTCGTCAACCCAAGACGCGTCTGCGTGACCAGTGAGGACCACTGGACCTTTCCCTCCAAGCACTAGCCCCATGCCCGACGTACTGCACAAGTAGCGCAACACCCTCTTCGCTGCAGCCATGTGCTCTGGTCGGTGTCTCCCAGGAGCAACATAGCGTGCCAAAATGCTAAGAGGGTAGGCAAGGTCAGGTCTAGTGCAGGTCATCAGGTACATGAGGCAGCCCACAAGCTCTGGATACGGGCCACTCGGCTCTACGGACTCATCCGAAGGCAGAGCTGAGAGCGAGTGGCGAGTAGACAGAGGAGTGGCCTGAGGCGAGGAGTACGTGAAGTCGAAGCGCTGAAGGACCTGCTGCACCATGTGTGACTGAGTCAGAGTGATGGTGCGCCGTGCTCTGTCCCGAGTGATCTGCAAGCCAAGATAGCTACGCAGTTCACCCAGGTCTGTGCACGTGTGTCTCTTCTGCAGCTCGGACTTCACGTGGGCGAGTCCAGCAGTGTCAGCTGTAGCGAAGACCAAGTCGTCGACGTACACGAGGATGCAGAAAGGCGGCAAAGTGGTGTCGGTGCGTAGAAACAGCGACGGGTCGGCTGTAGAAGGAGCAAACCCAAGAGCCGCAAGCGTAGTCCTCAGTGTGTCGTGCCACTCACGGGGCGCCTGGCGGAGACCGTAGACTGGCCGCCGGAGGCTCCACTGGGTACCAGGAGGAAAAGACCCAGTGAAGCTAGGTGGGCGGCGCAGCCAGATCTCCTCGTGGAGGCTGCCCTGTAAGAAAGCTGTGTTGAAGTCAAGAGAGTGAAGCTCGTAGTCATGCTGAGCGGCAACGTGCAGCAGCACTCGAAGAGTGGTCATCTTCGGGGTGGGAGAGAAGGTCTGAAAGTAGTCAACTCCCTGCCGCTGACTGAAGCCTCGAGCCACGTAACGCGCCTTGAAGATAGGCGGAGAACCCGGCGGCCGCTTCACCCTGAAAATCCACATGCCACTGACGATGTTCGCCCCAGGTGGGGCAGCCTCGTCAACGTAGGTGCCTGTGGACTTCCAGGAAGCCATCTCTGCGTCCATGGCTGCCTGATACTGAGAGGAGTAGGGACCCTCTATCGCCTCCGCGTAAGAGCGCGGAGTCGGGATGTCAAGTGCATCCGGGTCTCCCTCAAGGGCAAGCAGCATGGCCACAAGATGGGGTAAAGCAGCAGCAAGACACTGGAACTCCTCCTGCCTGTCCTCAAGGACGTTCGTGCTAAGAGCACACTCACCCCCGACGGACGGAGGACAGACAGACTCAGACTCAGCAACAAGACTAGCGGCGTAGTCTAGACGACAGGCAGCAGCAAAGTCAACAAGCTCAGCAACCAAGGCAGACGCTTTAGTAGACTCAAACGACAGGTCAGTGACAACAGTGGCTAACAGACGCGTGACAGTAGGGTGCTCAGCACGAAACCGGTCAGACTCAGGGTCCGGAACGGCAGGCAGAGAGGACGCAGGGGGAGACGGCAGAGGAACAGGCTGCGGAGTAGAGGAAGGACGACGGACAACAAGGCGTGCGCTGGGGACAGCCGGCTGACGCAAACGAGGAACACGACGACCAGTACGACCAGAACGAACAGGCGAGACAGGACGCGACGCAGGCTCACGACGCTCAGCAGGACTACCTATCTGCTCAGTGTCAGGAGAGGGAGCAGGCAGCGGTGAGCCAGTCTGTAACGGAAGACCAGTAGACGACGGGAGAGTAACAACCTGACGAAGAGCAGAGTCAGGCGGCGGCAGAGACGACGGAGACGGCAGAGCGAAGAACAGTCGTGTCGGCGCAGCTGCACCAGCACCAGCAGCTCCTGTAGCTCCAGCGCCTCCAGCCGCTCCAGCACCTCCAGCAGCTCCAGCGCCTCCAGCAGCTCCAGCGCCTCCAGCAGCTCCAGAAGCTCCAGCCGCAGAACCGGTACCTCCAGTGCCAGCACCTCCAGACTCAGCGGCACCCCAAGAACCGGCACCTCCAGCCCCAGGGTCTCCAACCGCAGGGTCTCCCGCAGCCGCCCCCCCTGAACCAGCACCTCCAGTCCCAGGGTCTCCGGCCTCAGCGTCTCCAGGAGCGGCACCCCCAGACGCAGCACCCCCAGCCCCAGCAGCTCCAGTACCTCTAGTACGAGCACCTCCGGGACCAGCGACTCCAGCACCTCCAGTAGACGAGCCCCGGGCTCCAGCAGCGCGACCCTGACGGCGACCGTACCAGTCGTGCAGCTGCTGTGGGGTGAGAGGCACACGCGGACGAAGGCGGCCACTCCAAGTAGGCACCAACACTCCCAGTAGCAGCACTAGTAGTAGTAGCAGGAGAAAGAGCAATAGCAGCAGTAACAGCAGTACGGGCAGGACAGTGCTCACCAGTGGCAAGAAGGGCACGCGTACGACGGCGGCAACGGCAAGGCCGGCACCACTGCAGGGCGAGGGCTCCGCGGCAGCTGCATGAGGCGGCTGCTCCAGGGGCGGTTGCTCCAGGGGCCAGGGGCGGCTGCTGCAGGGGCGGCTGCTCCAGGGGCGGCTTCTGCAGGGGCGGCTGCCCCAGGGGCCAGGGGCAGGGGCGGCTGCTGCAGGGGCGGCTGCTCCAGTGGCCAGGGGCAGCAGTTGCAGGGGCGGCTGCTCCAGGGGCCAGGGGCGGCTGCTGCAGGGGCGGCTGCTCCAGGGGCCAGGGGCGGCTGCTGCAGGGGCGGCTGCCCGAGGGGCCAGGGGCAGGGGCGGCTGCTGCAGGGGCGGCTGCTACAGTGGCAAAGGGCAGCAGCTGCAGGGGCGGCTGCTCCAGGGACCAGGGGCGGCTGCTGCAGGGGCGGCTGCTCCAGGGGCCAGAGGCGGCTGCTGCAGGGGCGGCTGCTCCAGGGGCCAGGGGCGGCTGCTGCAGGGGCGGCTGCTCCAGTGGCCAGGGGCGGCAGCTGCAGGGGCGGCTGCTCCAGGGACCAAGGGCGGCTGCTGCAAGGGGGGCTGCTCCAGGGACCAGGGGCGGCAGCTGCAGGGGCGGCTGCTCCAGGGGCCAGGGGCGGCTGCTGCAGGGGCGGCTGCTGCAGGGGCGGCTGTTCCAGGGGCCAGGGGCGGCTGCTGCAGGGGCGGCTGTTCCAGGGGCCAGGGGCGGCTGCTCCACAGGCCAGGGGCGGCTGCTGCAGGGGCGGCTGTTCCAGGGGCCAAGAAGGGGCCGCGAAGGGCCGTGAGGAGGCCGCGAAGGGGGGGCCGCAAAGGGGCCGCGAAGGACCGGGAAAGGGCGGCGAGGGGCCGTGAGAGGGCCGCGTGAGGCTGCGAAGGGGCCGTGGAGGGGGCCGTGCAGGGCCGCGACGGGCTGGGAAGGGGCCGCAGCGGGCCGCGAAGGGGCGCGAGGGGCCGCGAAGGGCCGCGACGGGCTGGGAAGGGGCCGCAGAGGGCCGCGAAGGGGCCGCGACGGGCCGCGAAGGGGCCGCGACGGGCCGCGAAGGGGCCGCGACGGGCCGCGAAGGGGCCGCGACGGGCCGCGAAGGGGCCGTGACGGGCCGCGAAGGGGCCGCGACGAGCCGCGAAGGGGGCCGCGACGAGGTCGCGACAGGGGGCCGCGAAGGGGCCGTGAGAGGGAGGGGCGCGAGGGGCCGTTTAAGGGGCCGTTTAAGGGGCCGCGAAGGGGCGGGGTAAGGCCACTAAGGGGCCGAAACTTTACGGGCAGGGCGCAAAGGCGCTCCGGGCAGCTAAAAAAAAGGTTCTTGTGGTGGGCCCTAGGAAGAAACGGTCC